TTATGGTCCAACATTTGGGTGATCTATCTGAGGTGCTGGTCATGCTGAAGGCTGAGTGTTTATCTAACGGCTAACTGTTATGCAAGAAATGTAATTGCCCCACCAGAGTGTTTACACACTGTCTTTTGGAAAAAATTAGGCAAGCCCCACGGGAAATAGTTTTATATTGGAAAATAGTTATTTGATTATGATTATTATGTCATGAATATGATAACAACCAAACCCATTGTCCTCATTGGCATGAAAACATTTGTTAACTGCCTTTCTAAACTCAGTAATCCACTGTAGCTCAAAAAAAAAAGAATCACGAGTTGGTCTCAGCTGTCTATCAAGCTGATTTTGAATGCATCAAATAACTAATAAAAACCAAACTTGTAGCAATGGGATTTGCAGCTATGATATATACAAGAGAGTCAGTGTGGAGGGACACGATACTTTAATTTAAACTCTGTGTTTATTGTGTTGATTTATCTTAACGAAATATTCAACCTCAGATGTACACAGAGGTACAAAACAACAATGTCTCCCCATATAATACACACATCATTTCCATTTCATCAACATAATGCTTTATCACTCCTCATTAATTCCCAGATGAAGGTAATACAATGTTTACTGTAGACTACAGAGCGTGAACTTTGTATCTTTGGCAAAGTTATTCTCAGCTTCGGAAAAGTTGACGCAACACATTCAGGTTAATTTCGTCATAGATTTTTATTAGTAATCAATATGTGAAAAGCTTCTTGACAAAGTTTTTTAATACTATGAACTTTGTTACTGAAAGTGCTCATGTAATTGTTTGTAAGTGCTTAATTGGCGAGCACGAACCTCAGGTTTCTAGAAAAGGTCGACCTGTGGAGGTGGACTACTGGCTTGTGATTAATTCTGATTGTGTCTGGCTGCTGTCTTTAAATCTCAATTTGATAAATGAACTGTGCCAGATTCTCCATCCCTCATTATGCTGTTAAAATGAGGACACATTCAGGAAGACAAAATGAGAATTTTTTTTCTTCAAAAGATACCACGTAATTGCAAACAGCCTCCAAATGAGCTGAAAGTCCACTATGTTCTCTCTTATTCAGCACTGTGACCAGTCTTGGGTTTAATGAATGTGATTATTAAAGACTAGCCACACTTCTCAAAGTGAGATGAAGTTGTAAACTCCTCACTCACTCTAGGTTGGCCAGTTAATTTGTACGACTCTTGTACTCTTCACATAAAATTGGATGTGATAACAGATGTGTGTGGAACACTGCTTTACATTTTACTGCGTAGGAATGCAGGGGCTTGTATGTTATGGTTGAAAGTCGGCTCTCTGCCAGTGTTCCTGCTGTTTAAAGCACATAACGCCGCCTGGGTATCATTTGCTCAAGAAAATCATTTCATCAAATCACATGGCTCCATATCTGTCTGTGTATACCTGTTTGATTATATTTATATCCCTGGCCCTTATGATATTTATTTCTGATATGCCTGCTGTTGCACCTTTCTCACACAACTTTCTCAACTTTATTCACAGATGAGATTGAAACTGTGCCGTGCAGCACAACAACGGACACCAAGTGCCAGTGCAAGCAGGGGACCTTCTGCGTGCCAGAACAGGCCTGTGAAGTCTGCAAACGTTGTGCCAAGTACGTCTGATTTACTTCTCTTTAAGATAACTATTTTTTTTAACTTTGCAATGACTTAAAGGAAAAACTGATTTTGCACAACAAAGTTTGTTTTCAGGTCTTGGGAGTTACTGTTGCATGTGTGACAGAGATGATAAAAACTTCTTGTAGCTACAGAGGGAGCTGGAAGTTTGATAGAGTGATAAATGCTTGTTCAGGCTGCGAGCTTATATCCCCCAACAGAGTTGAAATCAGAAGCACAAAAGGTCGTGCTGCTTTTTGTATGTTTTAATACCACTTGAAAATGAATTTGTTGCACTAAATTGCAGGTGTAAACCAGGGGAGGAGGAGGTGAAGAAGTGCACCCCCACTTCTAACACAGTGTGTCGAAAACGGGATCCGTCCCCGACCGAAACCTCTCCAGCCCTTCCTACTCCGACCCCTTCAGCCGCAGCCGACAAAGGTGACTTCACAGTTCCATGCTGCTAAAAATTGTAGATTGTTGTATCTAAAATTTTATTGTACTGATACATTTTCTTTTTTTTTTTTTTTGCAGTTGTTCCT